CCCTCCATATAATCACCTCCCATATAATCACATCATATGTAATCACATTTTTATTTAGGCCAAACTATGATTTAATTTATAAGAAAAAAAAAACATTCGTATAAGTACGACCCCTTTGTAAGCACATTTTTAAAAAAAAATTATTATGAGCCCAACTGTGTAGGACGACTGTAAATGATATCAGTGAATTATCAGTTAGATTCTACTGTATATTTACATAGATTAAATAAAATAGCATGAAAAAGTAATATTTAGTACAATAGTTTCTTTTTATTGGTTTGCAAAAGGCTTTTTATGGAGGTTGTAAACGATAATAAAAAGTCCAAACCTGTCACGATCATATGTATTCAAGAATATTTCAAGGATAGCAATTCATCATGGAGATTTACTCCGGTAATTGATAATGATAAAGGCAATTTAAGATTCAAATGAACATCCATTGAAAGTAATTAAATTCGAGAGATAAGTACGTATATATAACAAAAAGGAATAAAGGTTACAAAATATTTTTAAATGGTTTAATAAAATTTAATTAAATGGAAATTTGTGGTTTCGTTTTATTCTCGATCCATGATATTAATAAAAAAAATTTAAATAAAAAATAAAAAAAATTTCCAATCTTTTTGTAATTAAAGAAGTATCTAGTACTTTTTAAGACTTTTTAAGACGTAAATAATGTACTATCTTATGATCATTTAGATGAAATCTATTGTCTAATATATTATTTTCATTTAATTATTGTAAAATGAATATATATATTTGTAATTAACTAAATATTAAGAATTTTCAAAGATATTAAAAAAAAACATATAAAAATTAAAATAAACACTCGACACTGCAAATTTTTTTAACCATGAAGCCATATACTATCATTTGGATGTTTATAAGCGTTGGTATAACAGCCACAAGTATTGGCTTTCTTACGACATTAACTACTTATGAGAAATGTACAGATTTTCACGCTGAACGCTTCACAAATAGTAATTCTCTTTCTTACAAAACCAATCTTGCACAATAGAATTATTCGGATGTTCTCAAGAACGTAGAAAGTTGGGGTTTATCCACTCTTCCAGGGATGAACACAACTGCTTATATAGTGAATAGATTAACAATAACATATACAGTTCAAATAATGCATTTTGCGCCTTATGATTTTGGCTACGAATAATAAAACATCTTATCCACTTGTTAGCCTCGTCACTGCTGTTGATGGTAATACAGCCACTTACTTTGTTATTTATGAAGAGAATAAAGTTCCTACAACAGAATGTTTAAGCGCACCAATCACTTGTTTTGTTGATCAGCCAATTAATTCACCTTTTACTTCACTTTCTCAACCTCCAATAATGGCACCATATGGCATGAATGATACACTTAATATTAATCCTCATCTAAGATTTTATGTTTGCGAATATAGTAACAATGATGCCTACTCTTATAAGTGGGCAGTGGGATATGCTCAAGTAGCATATAAACTTGTTTTTGGATTGGAGTGTGCAAAATTTACTCTTATACTTTTCTTTGGTCAATGTTTAGCTAATTGTCATCAATATTATCTTATAAACTTTATCAACGATTCAATTATTTGGATCATGATATTTTTGCTTAAAAGAAAGTATCCCCAACTTGAAGAAGCTTGGAATGCTTTGGATGAAGCTGTTGAACACAAACCAAAAAGACATTTGTTGCGAATTTTCTGTAATACTTTCCTCCATTCGATACCGATGATAGTTTTAACAATCCAGAGTATAAGTTTTCGTTTCAATATGGCACATCAGCCTCCATCTGCTTTATCTATTGTTGGTTGCGTGTTTTCCTTGATTGCAATATGTTACAATCTATGGCAACTAGCAGATAGTGCACATAATAAACTTAAAAAAATTCAAAAATCAGGTATGGACGATAAAGAAGCGAATGAAGAAGATGTGTATATAGTTTCGAAGATTGCTTCTTTTTTTACATGCTGTGAGATTGTTTCTAATCCTTCTAACTGAAATATAGCATTTAATTGATTTGGTTATGTAATAGTTAAACTATAAGTGACAAGTTTTATTTCGAAAAAGAAAATTTATATTTCGGATACATAGTTTATATCACATGTAATGTTTAAATGTCATATGTTAAATTTTTTATTTTTACTTACTATTAAATATATTATTTTGTCATTGATACTGTAAATTATTTTATTCATTGAATATTGCGACAAGAATAGGGTTTTGCGGAATTTTCAAAAAAAAAAAGTTTTAATATCAATTATTGTCGCAGCTGATGCTGAAAACGGCTGATGCTGAAAATTTTTCATATTTTATTATAAAATTATAAAAAATTTTTGGGCCTTTTTTTTACACTTTTTTTT